CCATTACCCATAAGCTTGCGCCCTTCTCTGTCCTCTGTTGATTTTGATCTACGCGAGGTCGAGGTTGAGGTCGAAGGGCGGAGGGGCAGGTCTCACTTATTGCATCAGTACAGCCTGGGTGGTCCATCTCGCGTCACCGCGATCAAGGTAAGCCAAGTCATCTTTACTGACCGATACGTTAGGTGGTTTACCGGCTTCTCGAAATGGTCTTCAGTTTTAGTTAGGCGTTTGAGAGAACAAGTCACATCTGTTTTTGACTCTTTCAGGCTCTGACGAAGGCGAACAAGCCGAAACGTTGGCCTAATAAATGTTAACAATCTTGGTCGGCTCAAGTGAACTACTAAATTGACATCACAACCATGCCAAGATTAAGGGATAGTCGGTCCTGGTCGATTCTCAAGCGATTCTGTTGCGGGTTTGTGAAGCGAGTGATTGTACCGACTTATTCTCCATGGCTAATAGCTGGATCGCTGCAACTGAGGGTCTCCCGAAATTTCAAGCCTATTTCGACTGAAGCAGTTGCAGCTGCCTAGCGATAAGCGGAAAAAGCAGGCCGGTCGCAGTCACGCAGCAGCACCTCTCGAGTATGTACATCTGCAAGCATGAACGGTGCCTCATGTATAGGTATTAGGGACTACGCAAAAAAAACCCGAAGAGAATGTAGCTCTTCTTACAGAAAACAGAACGAAACCGTAAAAATAATTCAATGGAAAAGTGATATAAATAGATATGATGTGATACCTATTTGATCTCCGGCACTCCGGACAGCGTTGTGCAGTTCATCTCGGGACATAGCATCCACACTTTTGCCATCAACTTTGAATTAATTGATCTCCAGGTAAAAGTCCATTCCTGGCAAAAATCCTTATAAATGCAAGACAATACTGATATAAGGGCCCTTACTCTCTTATGCCCTTCTACAACCCATATTTGTTAAAAAGCTTTCTCCCCACTCTAGGTCTTTGAACAACACTGAGGTGGCTCGTCTGAGGAAAGTGAGGTCTCTCAGAGACACTAGGCGAAAGCACAGAAGAAATCAACCAACTTCAAGTCATCTGGCCTTGGCGGGCCTGTTTGTACATTCGAAGGTTCAGCGAACACTATTGTTCTCAATCCGCCATGTCTGTTGGAAGGAAACTGTACACGACGAATAGAGAATCCGAAGTCTCCTCAAATGATACGACTTATGTTGTATTCATCAGCACGGAACGGATAGCAGAATGAAAAATTTCACAAACTGAATAGATTTTACCTGTAATACTCTTGTTTAGCACCAGAGTACGGACCTTGACTTGCACAGCCGCTAGTGCTGGTAGAGCAAGACCCTGAACAGTACAATAAACTGGAGAAGTTCAATTTGGGTATTCTAGGTGTTCCTTGCAGTCAAATTGTTTACTACTTAAGTTAATCAATGTTATCATCCAGAGCTCCCTTCCTAGATTTCCAACAATGTCATTGACAAATAAAATTGGAATTAAATTAGAGACGCGTTGAATCACATTATTCCAGAATTCATTAACCCTTAGATCATACGGTAATCGAGACCCATCGAAAACGGAACACGGAACACATCCCCAAGCTAAACTCACACCTCACAAAACGTGAAGCCCATTATCATTTTTAATGCTGTCCAGTATTGAAGCAGTGATTTCAGCGGCAGCTTCCGCCTTGATTAAGGACCACTTCTTTGATATCTAATTGATGGCGCTCAGAGGCGGATATTAAAGTGCAGCAGCAGAGGCATAGGATCCAGGTGGAGTATGGAAGAATTTCCTTCCAAGTCTTAGCTTACCATCAAAAAAAACAATTATCAAACTACATATGAAACTGCAGTTCGAAGAGCTGAAGAGACACAACTCCCCTGACCCTTTTGCCATACCAATCTCAGTAAACCACACGCGTCTTTCCGAACTTTATCATCTATTTTCTTGTGTCTACTTGGTAACCAGTAATCAACC